AGGAAGGCAATGATAGTATGTAGATGAAGATAAGGAGCAGATTGTTGTGGTGATGGTGGATTTAGATATGAAGGTGTGAATGATATTAATGATAATAATAGTAGTATTTAATATTACTATTATGTTTACAATGAGTTAATAATTATATTAATATGTATATTGGTGTATGGATTTGTAAAATTATTACTATTATTATTTATTGATTATTATTGCTGTTATTAGTGCTGCTATTATTGTACTTAAGAAATACTGTATGTACATTAATATATGTATATATATTTTGATTTTGAAAAGGTCACGCCTGTAATTGATGTTGATAATTTAGTTACTTATCAGGCTTCGTCACCTGACGAAGTTGCAATTGTTAAATGGACTGAAAGCGTCGGTTTAACTTTGGTTTTTCGTGACATTAATGAAATGCATCTTCGTACACCTCATGGAAACATTCTCGAATTCAAAATTCTTCAAATATTTCCATTCACTAGTGAAAGCAAACGGATGGGAATTATTGTCCAAGATAAACAAACTGAAGAAATTACATTTTATGAAAAAGGTGCAGATGTAGTCATGGGCAGAATTGTTCAATATAACGATTGGTTGGATGAAGAATGTGGAAACTTTGCAAGAGAAGGTCTTAGAACCTTAGTTATTGCTCGTAAAAGGTTATCAGACGTTGCCTATAATGATTTTCAAGAAAGGTATTATTATTGTCATTAAAATTTTTTTCCATTTATAAACATATATAATTGATTAATTTTTATTATTGAAATAGGTTTCATGAAGCTAGGACAAGTTTAACCAATCGTAAAGCCCGAGAAGGAGAGATTATTTCATCGATACTAGAACAAGATTTGGAACTTTTGGGGTTGACTGGTGTTGAAGATAAACTTCAAGATGGTGTTAAAACTACGTTGGAGCTACTTCGAAATGCAGGTCTTAAAATATGGATGTTAACAGGTTAATAATTTGTTTTGAATACTCTCATATAAAATCTAATGATTATAAATTTTCATTAATTTGATTTGTTATTATATATTATTATTATAGGAGATAAAATTGAGACAGCAACTTGCGTAGCAATATCCTCAAAATTGATTTCAAGAAATCAGACTATTCATAAAATAGCAAAAAGTGATAAGAGTTTTTTTTAATTTCATGCAACTCAATTATCAATTTCTCAATTAAGATATTTAGTTTCAGTTTTGCTTTTTTACTAGTGCAATCTTCAGATGAAGCATTAGAAGAATTGGACCATTTACAAAGTACAGGTGATTGTTGTTTGGTAATTGATGGAGAATCACTTCAGGTGACTTTAATTGCTTTAAATTATCTTTATTGTTTTATAAAATTCATCATATTAAATATTTTAATATTTCCCTCTTTTGAAAAAAAAAATTTCAGCTTTATATTGATCATTACAAGAATGAATTTATTGAATTAGCAATCAGATTGCCAGTTGTAGTTGCTTGTAGATGTTCGCCTACTCAAAAGGTTAACAACATTTCAAGTTAAATTTATTGAATCAATCACGCATACTTTGAGTGCTCATTATATTATTTATTATCTATTGATCAATAGGCTGACATTACGAGACTCATTAAAAATTTTACTAATAAAAAAGTTTGTTGTATTGGCGATGGTGGTAATGATGTTAGTATGATTCAAGCAGCCGATGTTGGTATGTTATGTTTTTTTTCTTTTAATTTCAGTTTAAAGAATATTTAATATTTTTAATAATTTATCATCCATTAAATTGTTTTCAGGTGTCGGTATTGTTGGAAAAGAAGGAAGGCAAGCTTCTTTAGCAGCTGATTTTTCAATTACTCAATTTAGCTATTTGACAAAATTACTACGTAAGTAAAAAATTGTAAGATATTGTTTTAATTACTTGGAATATTTTTTTCAAAAAAAAACTTAATTCTTTATAGTTTGGCACGGAAGAAATAGTTATAAACGTTCTGCGAAGCTTTCTCAATTTGTTATCCATCGTGGTCTTATAATATCGGTTATGCAAGCAGTGTTTTCTTCTATCTTTTACTATGCACCAATTGCTCTATATCAAGTAAGTATCTGTAACCCTTTAGCGTTACAGCATAGAATATATTTTTTTAATTTTTTTAAAAAATTCCTGTAGGGTGTATTGATGGTAGGATATTCTACCGTTTATACAATGGCGCCGGTATTTTCATTAGTATTGGATATGGATGTAAGTGAAGACATAGCATTACAATTTCCGGAATTATATAAAGATTTAACAAAGGTAGTTACAAATTTATTATTAATATTAATTACTCTTGTATGAAATTAATATTTTTATAAATTGTTCTTTGTGGTTGCTATAGGGAAGGTCACTTTCTTTAAAGACCTTCTTTCAATGGTTAATGATCAGTGTATATCAAGGTATTATTGCACGCGCACATACATGTTTTCCTTTTTTTAAAATTTTCAATGCTCATTTAAATTCTATATGTATGCTCTTATCAAATAAAATTTATAGGTGGCGCTATAATGATTATGTCTATATTTCTTTTTGAAGACGAATTTGTCAATATTGTCTCGATTTCTTTCACTGCGTTAATTATTAATGAACTTTTGATGGTTGCTTTGGAGATCAATACATGGTAATGCAGTTCGACTGATTATTTTAATATTTAAAATTTATATTAATTAACAATGAATTAACCGATTCAATTATGATTGGAAAAAAAGGCATAAACTTATGATTATATCAGAAATAATTACATTGATCATTTACATTGTTTCAATGATATTTCTGCCTACCTACTTTGGTCAGTATTTTTTTTTTTCAATTTGACTTTCGATTTATAAAGCCTTTTGTATTAATTATTTTTATATATATTATTTTTATTTTATAAAGATTTATATTTTATCTTAACTATAACATTTGTGTGGAAGGTTGCTGTAATAACCGCTGTTAGCAGTATTCCATTATATATAGTCAAATTTTTGAGGAAAAGATATGCACCACCAAGTTATTCTAAATTACTGTGATGATTTTTTTTAATAGAAGATCGGATATTTTTAAATACTGTATATTATTAAATGTAAATTAAAGTTATAGAATTTATTTATTATTTCAATATCTATTATTATTATAATAACATTTCTTTTTTTTTCAAAATAATAATTAATTGTTTGGATAGGGCAATACGACAAAAGAAAATATCGATATCATTGTCAAAAAAATTTTTTTAGTAATGTTTTATCATCTCTAGATAGGCTAAAGAAAATCTCAGTAAAATGGGTTAATTTTAGATTAGAACAAAAATTTAGAAACAACGTTGTTCTTATACCAAAAATTGTTTACCCAATATTTTATTTTTTTTAATAATACAATAATTTAATTTATTAAAATGGCTATTATTATTATTTATTTATATAAACTTTTTAATTTCAATCCAATCTCTCTTCTTCTTTTACCTTCAAGAAATTTCATCAAGTCTCCATATGTATTTGGTATAACTCTTCTAACATTAATAATATCATATGATGTAAAAGTAAAATGAAATATATTTGTTGTGTCTCTTTTTTCTTTTTCAATATCTAAAACATCTGCTGTAACCTATAAAAGAAAAACCCCAATATGAATGTAGAAAAGAATGCATATTATTATTATAAAGTATCATTATTGTTTTTTGATGCTGTTATCATCATCATCACCATCGTTATTAATTATTATTAAATATAAAAAACTTACTGCAACTTGAAAACTTTGATGTGGTGTGCCAGGTGAATACACAATTTGAGATGACAAGCTTAAAACTGAGCCAATTAGTACAGGTTTTCTAAATGAAATTTCATCCAATGCTAAAAAAACTGGTCTATTTCTTAAGAATACTGAAGCATTTGAAAATGCTAACTTATTATTATTGTTATAATGATGATAAAAAGGTTTAGCTTATTTAAAAAAAATATATAATAATGACAATTGAAAACAATATAAATAGCATTCTACCTCATAAGCTAATTTCATCAAATAACCACCAAATATAAAACCATGAATGTTTCTATACTAATAATATTGGAAAAAAGATGTATATATTAAAAATTTATTTATTATACAAGTTCAAATTTACACTATAGACATTACTTGTGGCTGCATGAGAACAACAGATTCCATAATTGTTTCATCCATCCATATAATATCATCAGGTTTCTTTTCTTTTCTCTTTGTATCTAATAAGAAAACAAATAAACAAATAAATAAGATATTGAATAGATTTAATAATCATCATCAATTTTTTTTACCCGCATATTTCCTATATTCAAGGTACAAATCGTGTATTAATAATCTTTCATCTTCTGTTGGTGGTAATTTATTAAGAGATTTGGCAGCTGATTCGATTTTACGAGCTTTTAGTTCTATATGATTATATATATATATATATATTATTTTAATATATTTAAACATATATTATAAAAAAACAATTAATAATATTAATGTACCTTTTCCCATTTGAAATAGTCTTTTTTGTTTTTCATTTTCTAATTGTAATGGATTGACTCGAGCCGCTTGACCTGTCTTTGGATCTTTTGCTACCATTGTAAATCTTGCTATCATGATCATTTCAAGTTTATCTTGATTTTCGTTAAATATGTACTCAGGATTTGTTTCTATTTTTTGCATTACACCATCTTTAAGCGATTCCATTTTAATCAAAACTAGTTAAATATAGGTGTAAAATAATCATCTTACTTTATTATTTAACAAATGTCAATAATGATAATAATAATTTTAATTATTTAGTTTTCACCTTCCATTGAACTATATCCAACATAAGTTACGTGCCCAATTAATCTTAGATCATTGATTTTCAAGTGTTTAATTAACAAATCCAATCTATCAACAGATGCTGTAACTATTAAAAAAGGTGCTAAATTACTTTTGTCAATTTCACAATGTTTATAAGCACTTGCACCAGCTAAAAGATCCAAATTTTCAAATATTTTTCCCAATCTTTAAAAAAAAAAATTTAATTAAATCTAAACGACACCTATGTTATAAAAATGTAAAAACATCATCATCCAGAAATACCTAATTCCACCATATGGACTAATATAATCTTCTAACAATTCAACATCACTTTTGAGTGGCAAGAATTTTTCAACACAAGAATCTGACATTGTTTTAGGAACTAGTTGTTGTTGTTGTTTGAGCAATGATAAATCAACATTATCTTTATTATTAAGTATAGAAGAATATTTTTGTTTTGCTGAAATTTTTTTAATAAAATCATCATGCCTCCAATTTGATGCTTTTATTTTTGGTTTTACCATTGGCTCTTCATATGGATTTTCGATGCAAATAATCAATATTTTTAAAATTGATAGTAATAAATATTATTATTGTTTATTGTTGCTAACCTTTACACATTAATTCTTCTACACATTCATATCTTTTTAAACTTGAAGAATTATTACCACCATCATTATCATTATTACTATTGCCATTTGAAGAATAATGCCTGTATTGGAATACTTGAAATTTACGAAATGAAAGAAAATTCAGTTTAGATGGTCGAAATTTTATTGGATGAAAATACTCTAATTTTATCATTTTATGCCAAGGGAGTCTGTGAAATCGACAGCATTATAAATTGAAATTTATTAATCGTTAATCGTTAATTTAGTTTTATTTCCATCAGTTAACAATAATAACAATATTAGATTCTAGTACTAATAGCAAAGAAAAAGGTGTTGAAAGAATCAGACAAAATCATTACTATTATTAATTATTATGAAAATAAAATACGATATATAAGTAAAAAAATATTTAATTCAATATGCTATATATATAATTAATTTACAATTATATAAGAAACTTGAATACATGTATTTTTGATAATAATTTCTAAGTTTCAACTCAAAAATCAATCCCCGATCATAAAACCTAGCAAAAAACTTTATTCATCTGACCCACACAATCAAAATAATAACTGTCATTGATTATTATACATGCTCCACCACTCAGATAATGGTTTTTTATAATAATGATATATTTAACAGTTTATTTACTGCCCATCCCTTTATTTATCAGTTAGGCCTTTTAGCTTCAAAATTAATTTGATAAAATAAAATAAATCAAAATGAATAATTTTACAAAACCACCTTAATGGATTGATTCATTTAAATGTTTATTACATTTTAGTTGTTCACACTTATCACATATAAAATTTTCATTTATATGTTTTTTTTCACATTGGATACAGTAAACTGATAAATTTTCTTTGTCCAAATGCCAAGTTGCTCTTTCAAATTCTTGCTTTTCTATTTTATTAAGAAAAAAATTTGTTTTCAGGAAATTTTTGAGGAAAAGTTGGTTTGCAACATCCAGATCTTTTACCACCACCAAAACTTACGTTTGTGGCCAAATTTCAAATTAGCTTTTTAGCTACAGTCAAGCTCCTATATAGTCACATCCTATATAGTCACAACATAATATAGTCACATTTTTTTTTGTTAATTTGAAAAATTCCCTGCTACTAATTAATCATAGTAAAAAAATGTCCTGTATAGCCACAAACACTATAGTCACCAAAATTTTTGAAATTTCACTATGGTCCTGAAGTGTGTGAATATATAGGAGTCTGACTGTACACTCATCAATTAATTTATTTATTTTACAAAATTATCCTACTTATTGCTTTGGCAAATCTGTAAACACACTTTATGGTACAATTAACAGTAAATAAAGATGGTCTTCTACAAAACAACAAATGCTCCTATAGAGTTCCTTTTTATTTATCTTACTTTTCCTTTTCCTTGGCCAATTGAAGCCAGTCATATGTTTGCAACAATTGCTTTAACACAATGATCAATATATGATGACAACTTTGGTCAATAGTTGTTAGCTCTTTGTATAAGTGGTCAATCAGCAATAACTGTCAACACTTGATATTTTTGCCAATAAGTCTTAACACACTTAAAACAATTGCAAAAAATTCAAAATTCAAATCTTTGCTTTACCAAAACAAATAACAAAACCTCAGAGTTCTATACCACTCTGATAACCAAACAAACAATTAAACCTTACTGTTTGACTTCCAACCACAAAAGTGTTTTATTAAATTATGAAAATGCTTATTTGTGAAAAATAATTTTATATCAACTTTCTGCCTCTACTCCTCTGAATTATTAATATAGAACTATCTAATTACCTGGTTGATTAATTAATTAATTAATTTCACTTGTCATTATTTTCTCAATCTTTATTTAACATTTGTGTGAAACCATTTAAACAATTGTAATTGAATTCCAGCCCACATTTTAAAATTATTTAGAACATTTCTTCAGATGCTGAATTATTCAATCTTTTTTGTTTGGAAGCCATTTTTTTTTCCCTTCTTCCTCTCAATACATGCTTTACAAAGGTTTTTGAATTGTGATGGTTTAATTTAATATTAATAATATGTTGAATTAATAAAAGTGGTAAAGGCTTTAACTTGTGCTACTAGTCCTGGACATCCAAGACGTTTAATTCGTGATCCATCAATGAAGGAAAGGATCTACATAGTAAAATTCCGGATCGGCATTAATTAAATCCTTTCCTTAACTGGTGGATCACGAATTAAGTAATATAAATATAATAATAAATGAGCAGACAT